GTGTGTGTGTGTGTGCGAAGGCGAGACATTTTTAGCAACAGGAAGAAAGTCTCTTGCTTGCCACTGTCTGCGATTACAATCATTACTCCTCCTCTCCATCTTTCAACACTGAACCGTACTATTCCTGACACACAGTATATCGTACGCTTACTTTCTGTAAGTATAAAGTATATTTGCACTTTAACTTGAAAGGCTTCGCATGGACTATTCTGGCTCGTCCCTTTTATGTGCAGTGGTAACACAAAATGTGTTTACAGTGTCAATAAAGGAGTTCATTTTAAGACTTAAGTGGAGAGAGATAGAGGCGGTGAAAGAGAGAGTAATGAACAAAGCAAAGAGAGAGAGAGGACGGAGCAGAGTGTATATAAAGAGTAACCACCATATGGGAGTGTGAGAATGTGAGTTTGTCCTCTGCTGACATAAACAGAGACAGGGGAAGAGTTTAGATCTCATGCACACATGAGAGTAACATGCCGATCCTAAACACTTTTTTTTGGCTCTAACAGACTTAAATTGTTCTGCAATCAGGAGAATAAGCGTTTTAGATATCAACAAGAACTCGATTCAGGAAACAGTATTAGATTGATAGACTCGTTTTTTGTTCTGGTGCTGCAACTTTAATAACTTTAAAGTGCAAATTATTCATAAAAAAGGAGGAAACAGATGCACTTCTCCTGCACTGAACTTCATTTGCAAAGAACCGTAGAGCCGCCTCATGTTTTCATCGTTGTGGTGACTTTAATATACAACTAACGGACTGACAGATGCAGCTTTTTCCAAAGCATGAAGTGTTAAATAAAACAGACCCCCCAAATAATGAATTTAAAACAACGTAAATCAGAGAAAAGCCTCACATTCGGGAAGCATTTATACTTATTAAATGACTTAATGATTCATTTGTCTGCTGATTAAATAATCCGATTATCAACGAAGGCTTTCAGAAACAGAACGACTTTGTTGTTTGACTTTTTCCCTCCACAGTCGCCCATTCCAGACAAAAACATGTTTATTCTTCTCGTCCCTACAGTTGGATGTTTGATCTCCACTGT